CCAATTTCAGATGAGGAGTTTTGGAAACTGCAGTTCACCAATAGGAATGTTTAAATGTGTCTAATTGTGTGAACTTTTTATTTTATTTAGTAATTATGAGGTACTTTTTTATGACAAAAGGCCAACTGGCTATTTCAAACTAAATTTCAAAATACCAATAACGTTAAAAGCATAACATAAAAATAGAAATGTATTAATATTTAAACCTTAAACATAGATCTTTTCTACACCTTGGGGAGGATATATCTGAAGAGCTTAGTCCGGTAAACTTAATGGTTTAACAGAAAATAAGTTACAGAAACTGATAACTCGGCTGAAAATCAGATTTTTTGATATTTTAAACAAAGAATTTTTCTTCATTATAAACATATACTAAAGAAGACAATGGAAGAATTTGTATAATGTTTCCTCAAGAATTATTTATTGATTAATGCCGCTAAACATGCGAACAAAATAATTTTAATTTTAAAATCTTTTTTGAAGAAAAATGTGTGTAGCCTTGAATTAAGCAGAACAGTTTTCAAACAGTTATATAAAATAGGTTGCTAATTTTTTTTTTTTTTTAATACTTCAGTGCCTTTTTTTAAGATTCAGAGGGGGGGGGGGTACAAATCGGCCCTTTGTCACACCTAATTTTGCATTTTCCATTTGATCTCCAGATATTGCAATGACCTCCAGACTTCGGAGGTCAAAATATGATATCAATGAAAATAAGTCATGTGAGGTATCTAATCATAGGTTTTTTGGTTCTTAGATTTCATTCTGAAGGTGATTCTGAAGGTATTTGACCTCCAAATATCAATGAACTCCGGAGGTCAAAATATGAAATCATTGAAAATAAGTCATGTGAGGTATCAAATCCTAGTTTTTTTTTTTGTGTTCCAAATCCATTCTGATACCCCTTTTGGAACCTGGGTAGTTCTAAAGATCGCTAACCTCCAAATATAAATGACAGGCGGAGGTTTAAGAATAAAATCAATGAAATTGGGTCATTTTATGTATCAAAATTATTTGTTAAGAAAAGCTCAAAGTTAGTAAAATGTGCATCACTTTAGATTTTAAACATTGTGAGTTAACTTTTTCTCTGACCTAGTTGATGAGGATTCAAATTAATTCTTGGTTAAAACTTCACATCTACATTCTATATATTTAGATTAATTCATAGTAATTACAATTTACACGTAATTATCATAAAGCCAATATACTACATAGTATTTTCTTTCTAATGTCAGAAATCTGCAGAACTGGCAGATTTATTCTCAATTTTTTTTCGCGGATTTTCTTAATTAGACTTAAAAGTTCAAATTAAAAAGATATGTAAAAAACATCTTATGTAATATTAAATTATTTTAACGTCAACAAGTTCCCTTTCAACGGAAACAGCAAATCCGTTTAAAAAACTTTCTCTGAGGCATGTATTTCTTGTTGATTCAGTGTTATTAGATAAATAATTTTCATTGTTTTCATATTTTGACCTCCAGAGGTCATTGATATTTGGAGATAAAATGCCTTCAGGACCATTTATGGTCAGAAAGGGGACTAAGAATCAAATCGGAAATGACGTATTTTCATTGATTTCATATTATGACCTCCTCAGGTAATTGATATCTCAAGGTCAATGCCTTCAGGGTCATATATGGTCAGAGAGGGGACTCAGAATGGAGTCAGAACACCAACAAAACTTTAATATGATACCTCAAATGACTTATCTTCTTTGATTTCATATTTTGACCTCCAAAGGTAAGCAGATTTTGGAGGTCCAACATCCAGGATTATCTGAGGTCAAAAAGGGGTTTCAGAATGGAATCGGAACACTAAAAAATTTATGATTTGATACCTGACATGACCCATTTTTATTAATTTAATATTTTGACCTTTTCAGAAGTCATTATTAAAGGGAGGTCAAACTGGAGGTTGGAAATATATATATCTATATCAGTGCATGACTTATGTGGTAGCAAAAATATGAAAACATGCCTGATAAATTTTAAATGATTAAATTAGAATGAAAACAATAGTATTTTCCCGTATTTTCTTAGTTAACAGAGTTAAAAATGGAGATCAATGACCTCCAATCTAAAATCTTCTTCGTATTCTTTCTAGTTGACCACAATTAGAAGCTGCAAGCAAAATTTGACAGCCCAAATTTTTTTAAATAGTCTTTTTTGTTTGCTTATTTTCTTGTGGTTTTTAACAATTTTTTTATCGATTTTGTTAGGACTGACGAGGGTCAACCCAGATTGAAATAATTTTCAATTAATGTGGGACTAACATCTACTTTTTTTACTCTACAGAGGTTTGGTCCATCACCCTCACCGAATTTTAAATATGCAAGCAAAATTTCAGCCTTCTATTTAAATTTTTAGAACCAAACGCAGCCATGTGCAAAGTTTGGTGTCACTAAGTGTCAAATTGTACCCCTCCACCATCCTTTTGAAAAAGTGAGCTTGAATTTTTTTTTTGAAACTGTACAATTTTATTTTCACCTATTTTATTTACTGAAAGTAAATACTTATTAGCTCCGTCGCTTCAAAATATCATCTTTTTTTTCTAAGTTAAGTTAAACTCTTTAAAATCTTTGACACAATTTTACGCTTTGAGGTGTGTTTTATTATGTTGAGAGAATATTTTTGTTTTGCATGTATGTTTTTATAAAAAGGAGTAGAGTCTTTGCCACAAAGTCTGATTTCCAAATCCCTATATCTGTGCAACCCATTGACAAAGACCTTAGATATTTCAAATTATGATTTCTGCTAGATCAAGTTATCTAATTTTTAAATATCAAAGGTTTACATCATCCTGTTGGAAAGCTATAGGGACAAGAAAATTAGAGTTTGTGGCAAAAGCTCAATTCCTTTTATTTTCAAGATAATTCCGTGTCATTGGACCGAGTACGAAAAACCCTCCACTCCCTGGTTCTGGTTGATATGGATTATCTACTTTATGATTGGTAAGCAATGCATAGTAATGTAGATTACACAGTGTTTTTTTTGGGGGGGGGGGCACAGGGGGTATTTGGTTAAATTTTCAAGTAATTCGAATATCAACGGTGTCAAAATTTAAATTCAAAGAAATCGCATATAGTTAAACCAAGCCAAGATGTAAACTTCATTTGTCCGACATTTGAAATTGTCAGGAAAATATCTCTGCAGGAACTATCGTCCTCTTTACTTATCATTAGATACTTTTAAACAAATTAATTAACTTTTTTTATATTTTTAGGTTCTGTAGGAGCGTGAATAATTTCGTTTTCTTTCTTTAATTTGTAAAACTTTTTGTGCGAAAATATTTTCTTTTGTCAGGATTCAAAGATTTGTTTGATAATTAAACTCTAATAATTAATTTAAAACAATCTTTTCTTTGAAATAAAACTCAATAACCTAAATTACACAAAATAAAAAATAAGGACCAAAAAGATTAACATTTTGCTTTAGGCCTTTAAAAAAGCATTTTTTATTTTGAGCGCTTAAAACATTTACTGCATCTTGAATTATGATAATGGTAATATACTTCCACTGACGTTACGTCAAATTTCAAATTAGTGTTGGCTTTCTGTTGCTTCCCATTTAAATCATTTTCGATTTTTATCTATTGTACATTGAATTTCATTAATGATCCTTTTTAATCATTAACATTTGACTTGAGTCCTGGTTTTGCATAATATGAACCGGTACTAGATATATCCGTATTGTGTAATCAGACAGCATACACATTTACTTGTACCAGCCCGTATAGTGAATTCAGGGTTATTGGATCCATTTCGTTTTAAATTATGGTACAAATGTAGGCTGGCAGAATCCATGTGCGTTGAGCACTGCAGCAACTTATTTTTATTAGCACTCCTATAAACTAATAATTTCCTAAACATATATCTGTTAGTACCACTATGTACTACAAAGTTTTAATATAGCTATTCCCTAAACATATATTATTTCAAGCCCCGCTTTATATTTTATAATTTAAACTATCTCCTAATATATATTTAATAGCACCACTATATTATTTCTAGTTTTAATTTAGCAATTTCATAATATTTATTCCTTGTTATTTCCTAAAAATTCAGTAAACATTGCAACTAGGGTCTCCAGTGTCCAAAAACTTTCGCGCCAAAATGCGAAAATTTTCGTCAAAATTTCCGCCAAAACCATAGCTGCTACAATTTATTGCGTAAAAAAACTTGCGGAATTCTCTTCTCTAAGAGATCAGCATTAAAAGTTGTATTTTATCATAATTATCAATTTTTCTTCCGTATTAATTCGCAAAATTTTCGCATTTTTCCCCCTAAAAATGTTTGTCTTTGTTTTTATTGCGAAATTTTCGCATTCCCTATTTTACGAAAATGCGAAAAAATGCAAAATTTCCGGCGAACATTTTTTTCTCAAAAAATGCGACATTTACGCGAAACGATTTACCCTTTTCGCTGGAAACTCTATTTGCAACCTTTGAAACGAAGCCATATGCTGCTTTTAAATGAACACAATGATATAAAATCATGGGAAAAAGTAAAAAAATCACAAATTTTCATTAATAATTAAACAAAACACTCCGAATAATTATGATCACAGTACAAATTTGTATTATCTTGATTAAACACAGTCTGGAAATTATTGACTGGTTTCTACAGCGGTTTTGGGAAATCTTTTCATCCTGTATCTTTGGTTCAGAAGTCGATCTGTTAGGTAAAAAAACTTTTTTTCTTTAATTTTATCATGTTTATAATTTGGAAATCATACTATTTTCATCAAACATCAATTTAAATAGCTTTTTTATTCAAAATAAATATTTTTTTAGAAGTTCCAGTAACCTTATAGTCATCAGTCTCACAGTTGCAGGAAAAACCCCACACCATAACAATAATTTGTTTAATTTATCAATAGTATTTTTTTCATGTTTTACAATAAATATAATATTCTTTGTTAAGTATAATGACATTACTTTTATTTAATCTTTTTTTTTTAACGCCGAAATAATGTTCTTTTAATCTTTAATCACACTGGTAGCCTATGAACTACTGAAATACTTTATTATCTCTGTGTGATGGTAAGATTTACTGATGATGGTGAAACTACCAATATTCCTGGTAAACACATGGCATCAGGTTCCGTACCTTACAGCTATAGGATGCGAGGTAAGCTACTGATATTCATAAAAATTTGTCTGAATCAGGCTAATTTTACTGTGATATATCTGAGAGTGGCAACAATTAAAAAAATAAAAGCCTGAAAAGGGAATGTCCACATTTCCATACAAAGGGTGGGGGGAAATGATCGGAAAGGGGGGATGGTAGTCAGAAGGCCCAATGCTGAAGACTTTTGACACCCCATATGGACCAAACACAAAGTTTTTGAAATAATGTCCGAAAAAATGCGGGAAAAATGAGGGAGAAATTTGTCAATGAAAATCTGAGGTCTACGATAAAAAATTTGGGATTCCCTAAAGGAAAATTTGAGGTCTTTGATGACATTTTTGGGGTCTCCAAAGAAAAGATTGGGTCCGTTATCCAGTGAAATTTTGGGGTCTCCAAGGTGACGTCCATGGGGCCTCCAATAAATTCTGGAGTCTTCAATCAAAACCTGGGGGTCTTTGATGAAACTTTGGTGGTCTACAATGAAAATCTTGGGGTCTCCAATGAAAAAATCTGGGGGTCTCAAATGAAAAGCTTGGGAGTCTCAAATGAAAATCTGGCGTTCTCCAATAAAAAGCTTGGAGTCTTCGATGAAAGTCTGGGGGTCTCCAATAATAATTTGGGAGTCTCTAAGGAAAAGGTTGGGGTCTCCAATGAAAATCTGGGGTCTTCAATGAAAAGCTTGGGGGTCTCCAATGAATATCTGGCGATCTACGATGAAAAGCTTGGAGTCTTCGATGAAAGTCTGGGGGTCTCCAATGATATTTGGGGGGGTCTCAAATGAACATCTGGGGTCTCCAATGAAAATCTGGGGTCTCCAATGAAAAGCTTGGGGTCTCCAATGAAAATCTGGCGATCTCCAATGAAAAGCTTGGAGTCTCCGATGAAAGTCTTGGGGTCTCCAATGATAATTTGGGGGTCTCCAAGGAAAAGATTGGGATCTTCAATGAAAATCTGGTGGTCTCCTTTGGGAAATTGGGGGTCTCCAATGAGACATCCAATGAAAGAGGACTTCCAATAGTACTCCAATGATGATGATTCCGTCCGAGACTCGTTTTACATAGCCATTATTAAATGCGTAGATCAAAAATGAGTAAGTAAAAATAAAGATTATTTATTTCAGGTGTATGGGGTAGTGTCAGTTATATCGGGGATGGCTGCAATATGGAGTGTGACAGCAATCGGTAAAACTATTTTTCAATGGACACCGCTCATTATTTAAACATGATTCATTGACACCTAATCTCCATGAAAAAGAATTTAATTTACACTACACCTCAAACTGAAGTATTAATCGCCAAAAAAATTTAAATCTTCTATGCTTCAATCATTTTTTTTAGGTTGGATTTAATGAGTTGCTATATCCAGGAGTAGCTGTTTAGCTTATCAGCGCCAGGAGTAGTTGTCAAAGAGAATAGAATATATATTAGAGTGGAATTTAAAAAATCCCTCAATATGAATTTGTTCAATCCCATTCAGCCTGAAAGGGAGTTCAAAGTGTACAAATCATGTAAATGTTCACAAATTATATGCAGTAGAGTACATTAATACAATATGTTCTCTAAACTATCAATTTCAATTTAGAATTTTTTAAAGCTTTAACTTTATGAAAACAATTAGGTGAATAAAAAAACATCATTTGATTTATATTTATAACAGAAAATCATCGTTTGTAAAGTGAAAGGCATAGAGACTATGTGAAATAATCATTGGTCAATTATGAAACCACCCTATTTCATAATTTGGTTTTCTTTTAATATTAATTTTAGATTTTCTATAAAATGATGTTCAGTTTCCAAATTCCACTCTAATATATTTTCAATTCTCTTTGGTAGTTGTGTTGTGTAGCTAATTAGCTTCTGGAGGGCTGAAGTATAGCTATTAGCTCCAGGAGAAGCTTAGGTTTAGCTTATTAACTCCAGACTAACAGCTTATTAGCTCCAGGAGTAGCTGAGGTTTAGCTAATATATTCCATGAGTAGCTCAGGTTTAGCTTATTAGCTCCAGGAGTAGTTGATGTTTGTTAGGATGAAGGAATGGTAAATTTGTGGATAAGAGGTTTAAGCTTAATATTTTCATCCTTGTCGAATTCTTGAGCTGTTTCTGACCAAGAGGTAGTGTTTTTGGCCAACGTTCATTTTGCCTTTTGGGGTCACCACTCTTTAGAAGTACATTTTTTTGCTTCAAATAGAAACGCATAATGAATAACGAGAATATAATAGGAGAGGAAGATGAGCAGGTCTTCTATGGGTCCATTATCCAATGCTATGATTTGCGGATATTATGATCCTTTTCGTTAATTTCATCCTCTACAACATTTAAAGTATATTAATCCTTTGCTCCCAAGGTCTTTGTTATCAAGTTCGCGGATTTTTTTTAACGGCGAGACGAGAGAACGCAACTTTGTTTTCTGACACTTTTTTTAACCGCTCACACTTCTTAGCGAATTTCAGATATTTGTGTTTGAAAATAAAAAAAAACCGTTCATTAAGATTAGGTCAGATCAAAACGGATTAAAATCTTTAAAATGTCATCATGTTAAATTATGCAAAGATAGAACAATCATAAAGGAGTCCCATAATTTCCATATTTATAGCGTTATACTTACAAAAATTGCAACGAAAGCTAATTTTTTATATTTTAGTTGTTGAGCGGGCCTGGGTCATATCGTTCTCCAAAACCAGTGCATTTAATAAGCTCAAGATGATTCATGCTGTCGGTAAAGTCTTTTAAAATATTTCTAAAGAAACAATTTGGACAGTGGGGTAAAAAAGGGGGTTATTGGGGTAACTTACCCCCCCCCCCCTAGAATTTTGGGGACATAAATATCACCGTTTTGAAACTTGATCTCCATTCTCCTTGTCTATGATTACCATTAAGAGAAAAATTGTTTTAAACAAATTTTAGTTATTTATAAATTAAGTCAGGTGAAAGCTGAAAGGTGGAAAAGGAAGCGTTTTATTTGATATTTGATTTATTTGATCCCAGAAATTATTGGGAAATTGTAATGAGACCCAGCTAAAACCCATAATTTGATAAACATCATGAATGGGGTTGTACATGGTCAAGAGGGGGGGGGGATGAAAAAATCTTGGGGGGTTACAAAAAAATGTTTAAATCCCCCCCCCCCTTAGAAAATCCGTAATTACGCCCCTGAATTTTGGTGGGTTTCTGTAAACTTTAAAGAATGTGCCACACTATAGGGATGTTAACGTTTTCATTTTTCAGAAAACGATCGTTTCGTTATGAAAACGACGACAAAAAATCGAAAACGATCGTTTTTTAAAAAGTGCGTTTTTTAAAATGGTCATTTTCAAAACGATCGTTTTTCAAAACGCTCGTTTTTGAAAACGATCGATTTTCAAAACGATCGTTTTTATAAAATTCGTTGTTTCGTTAACAATCGTTACCGACGACCCTTCATTAACGATCGTTAACGACGACTTTTTGTTAACAATCGTTAACGACGAACCTTCATTAACCACGAACCTTCGTTAACGATCGTTAACGAAGAGTGGAAACCGACCTGAAGGGCATCTTTACTCATCATTGAGTAGTTTTTAAGAAAATATCATGGAGTTTTAACTCCCCCACAACTGTTAAACTTAATGTAAGACGACATTCAATAAAGTTGCATGTAATTTTGTTCCAAAAATGACCGTTTTGATAAAGTTTGTCGTTTCGTTTCGTCGATCGTTAACAACAACCCTTCGTTAACGATCGTTAACGACGACCCTTCGTTAACGATCGTTAACATAATTGTCAATAAAATTTTTTTTCAAAAACGATCGTTTTTTAAAAAAACAATCGTATAAAAAACGTTCGCAAATAGTTGTAATAAAAACGATCGTTTTCAAAAACGATTGCTATTCGTTTTCTAAAAGTTCAAAACGATTGTTTTTAAAAACGATCGTTTTTTTCAAAAAACGAAACAATCGTTTTTGAAAACGAAACAAAAAAAGATCGTTTAATGATCGTTTACAAAAACGATTAAGAACCCTAGCCACACACAGATGTTGCATAATCAGCTCTTGGTTCATGGTAAAAATATTTCATTCTTGTTACACTGGCAAAAAATGTCTTTAAGTAAATATCACAGACTTGGTACAGCTAGAAGTCATGAACATTTTTTGTATAACACTGTTATTACTAAGAACGAAATTCTAAATATAAATGAAGGTCAGGGTATATGTTAAACAAATTTTACATGCTTTAGTGATAAATATTAACGAAACTAAAATAAAAACCAGCCGTGATATTTAAATTGAAAATTTACAAAGCCGCATGAACAATCTCAGTTGTTACAGATAAACGATACTTATAAAACATCTATCTGATGTCCGTGTCTAGAAAAATTGATATAAAACTCTGTCAAATGTGTACTAAAATTCTTTTATGTAATCTTGTATAAAAAATGTAGGTTTAAAAAGATCATATTCAACAAATACGCAACCAATCTTAAAACGACGATATCCCACAGGAGCCTGAGAATCTCAGGTTTGCTCCTCTACTATAATTTTAAAATTTTTATTTTGCATTTCTGATAGATATAATTGATAATATAATTACCTATAGTCCGTATTACGTCACCAGAACGTCACCCAATGGCAGTGCAGTATCGTTGTCATGTGATACAGGCGGAAATTTCGTGACCAGTATACTGGACTGCATCCGGCTGAAGTTCTGGTGACATAATACTGGCTTTATGTAATAATATTATCAATTATATTTATTAAAAATGCAAAATAGAAAAATATAATATTAGCAAATCTGAAATTCTCAGGCTCCTGTGGGACATCGTCGTTTTCAGATTAGTTTCATATTTGCTAAATATGATCTTTTTAATACTACAACTTTTATACACAGACATAGACACAGTTTTATATCAATTTCTCAAGACAGATATATGTTTAATGTGAATCGTTCAACGCCATGAGATTCTCAGGTTTTATCCTATATATCCCTTTGATTGTTCCTGTACAGTCCCTTTAAGTAAAAAAAAACTAGTTTTAAATCATAATTTTAGGTATTGTGGCTTGTATTTGGGTATTAGCTGTCTTCTTTTCTATTTGCCCCCTGCTCGGCTGGAATGAATATCAGTATGAGGTTGTAAACAACATAATAATAATAATATTTAGTTTCCAATTATGGACAAATTATGCTTCATTTTTCGTTTTTTATATCATGCATCGGTAAAAGGTCAATAATTGCTTCAATAGCAAACAGATTAATCTAACCTTTGATGTAATTGTAATGTTTACTTTAATTATACAGACACAGAAAAATGGCTTTAGTTTAGCTTGCAATCGCTAGAAATGTCTAGTTGTCATTTGATGTTCAATATCTTAAAGCTTTGAACATTTTTTTTTCTGAAGGGATACCTAGTAAGCTGCTCCATTGATCTTATATCTCACTCACTTATGGACAAGGTAACATTAATGAACTAGTTTTATGTTCATAACTTTAACATGACCTTTCAAGAATGTTCATGGTTATTATAAGCATATTCTTAAAATTTTGTTAAAAAATATCAAATAGCAGAACAGTCACTTTAAAAGTAATGTATATAATTACACTGAATTTTACATATACTCTAAAAATAGATTAGTTTAAAATTATTGAAGGTTTATATTTGCATTTTTTAAGAAAGATAAAAGTTTTTTTTTAAAAAATGCAATATGGTACGTCTCGAGGTACTAAAACGTTAATTTAGCACAAGATTCTCTCTCTAATAATTAAAGAAAAGAATTGAGTCTTTGCCACACACTCTGATTTTCTAATCTCTATATTTTTGCAAACCGATGTCATAGACCTTAGATATTTCCAACTATTCTGTTAAATCAAATTATCTAAGTTTGAAATATCAAAGGTTTACAGAGTTTACATCATCAGTTTGCAAGGATATATGGATGACCGGAGATATTTCCGTTCTTCTTATTAGAGAACGGTTCTATCCAAAGTCTTAAAGAATTATTTATGTAACTTTCTCAAGTTCTTGATAATTCCGTTCGTTTTCGTGAAAGAACGATTCTGCTCCAGGGACGACGCCCACCCCAAGATATATGGGTTAGAAAATTTGAATTTGTGGCAAAGACTCAATTCCTTACAGACAGAAAGCTAAAATGAGAACTTAAGATTTAGGTTAAAAATAGCTTTTTGGTCATAAATCAATTAATTTGTTTAGTGGCTTGATATGAGTTTTTATACCATCATCAATTAAGATTATTTAAAGTCTGACTGGGAAATTTTTTATCTAGCTCTTCTCAATTTTCAAAAGTTTAATTTTCTTTTGGCGTTCTTATAAAAGTATTTGTGCAGGTATAAAAAACAATAGAAAGTAGTCCGGCGTGCCGTGAGCTAAGTTCCAAAGTCGACTATCCTAATTTTATTGCAGTAATCTCTTTTGAATTATTTATATTTTGAGGAAAATATAATTGTTTAGACCTATGTTTATTGTTTACTGTTACTTGGCTGGGTGGGACCAAACATTACCATTTTTTACTGCAGCTTCTGCATTGTAAAATCCAACAGGTGAATGAACTGTTAACTAAAAGAAAAAATTTGACTAAAAACAAAAACAAAAAAATTGGGATTTTTCAGTCATCACTACAGCTAATATTAATGTGCTGATACAAAAGTGTGTCCTTTGGATAAGATACTTTGATATACACTTTGGATCATCACACTCAGAGTTTTTTTTAATTGAGTTCTTGCCACAACCTCTGATTTCCACTATATATTTGCAATCTAATGTTGAACAACTTTGGTATTAAACTGTTAACTCTGTAAGATGAAATAATTCAAGTTTTAAATATCACATGTATACACCAACAAAAACTTTATCTAAATGTAAAATTTAAAAAAAGCTAGTCATAAATAATAAAGATAAATGATACACCTTGATACACTCAGTTATTACATAGTTTTCCTATTACTGTGTATTGAAAATATTAGTAAGTTTAAAGTTAGTAATGTAACGTTAGGCAAAACATCTTTTTCTAATACAGATCTTTGTATTTTATATTTTTCAGACTTAATAATTAAAAGTTCTCTACCCCCCCCCCCATTCCTATTGACGTTTTCTTTGTCAAAAAGACACAAAATGTCCCAATCCCCTCTAATGTCTTCTAGGCAAAAATGTATGAAAATGTTCAACAAATCTTGTGCATTATAATTTCTATAAAGCTTAAAGAAGTTTAAAGACAATGCCTGGAAGTATATTCTAAAACATAATTTTAGTATTTTATGGGTACATTCAAACATTAAGTCCGTATGCTTGAAGACTCAGACATTTTTTCGTTAGAAAAGTTTTAAAAATCGGACAACCAATACTTTTACAGTTATCTTCAAACAACGCTCAGAATAGATTAAACCGATTAGGAAGTATATATGCCAATGATATTGAAGGGAAAACAACGCGTCAATGATTGATCTGATGCGAGCTACTGGATCCTCCATAACATCTACTAAAGCATTCCAACTCCAAAGGATACAGGTCCTGAGAGATATAAACAATAAATAATTAGAATCCCCATAATCGAATGAAATTTAATATTGTTTCTATTCGCAAACAATTACATTTAATCATAAGTCTTCTTTAATTTTAGCTAAAGAAAATACTATTTTTTTCAAAAAATTAAGTGCAAAATTCAACATAAATTTTATTCGCAAAAATAGTTTTTTTTTCATTCAATAAAACAGACGAATTTTTATCAAAAATACCCTCATTAGTAATCTTAAGAGTATAAAAAATAGCTCTTAAATCACATAATACAATTTGATACAATGAAAATAGAAAGTTCCAAACCGTGCTGTTGTTCCAAACCTAACACTGAGTGTCAAGTTTGGGCACAAATATTATGATCTACGTTTTAGTAACTCTTCCTGTGTCGAGTGAAAATATCAATAAAAGAAACTACTTTCAACATAGAACTACAAATAACAATATTTACTTCTTTTCTAAAATTGAAACTGCGAGCTGTCGTTCATTTTTGATAAAAGCCCATGCCATTTTCGTAACAATTGAAGTTTTTCCATTTCACACATATTACGAATTCGAATCTTGGACGCGTTTTGGTACAAGACCCGCCATTCCCGGGGTGCAAAAGTTTTCGGATTTTCAAAGTTGTCGGATCATGGCAAGATTTGAGGACCAGTTAACCCAAGGAGAGTTAACATTGGGAAAGAATACAATTTGATGCCAGTCCCGGGGTGCAAAAAAATATTTGGATTTTTGGATTTTAAAGCAGCATGAATCAACTCAAATATTTTCATCTTTTAAAGTATTCAAACAAATTCAACCTTTTCTTTTTTAGATAACGAGAATTTAAGATGGTGTAAAGTTTCCTCCATTCTAAATGAAATATTTCCCGCATTTTTCTGTTCAATAATTTAATTGTAAGAACAAACATTCATAATAGAATTTTTCAATAACATAAGTCGTTATATTTTTAAATATCAGAGCAGAATATATTTGTTTATATTTAAAGTATCATTATTCAATTTTTTCCCGTAAACAGAAAATTTTGTTACCAAATTGGGTAAAGTTTCTTTGATTTAAATCTGTTAAATGTCTCAAAATCACGACATGTTCCAAACGTGTTTTGCGCCCAAACTTAGCATTTGGTTCAAAAATGTGACATGGTCTAAAATAAAATCAATAATAATCAAAAATTGAAATTTATTTCTTTGTAGGGGTTCAGTTTTGTTTTCGCAATGTAGCCTTAACTTACTGTATGCAGGCCATTTATAACACTCGTTTTAAATTTAAAAATATAAACAATTAAAAAATAACTTTGCACACAGTGTCAGGTCTGGTCCGATCCTAACCACAGTTTGGAATTTTCTTTCCCTTTTAATAGCTGTTCTGATTGTATAATAATAATTATAGTTTTATTTATTCAGGAGGAGAGAAAACTGTGGAAGATATCCCTGATCCTATTGATAGTTTGGATGTGCTCCTGGACTCCATACGCTATTGTTGTCGCTACAATTGTCACAGGGAAATAAATTATTTTCCAGTAACAAAGGAATTCAGCTTTTGTCACAAACTTAAATTTTCTAATCTCTATTTCTTTGCAACCTTATGATGGTAACCATTGATATTTTAAACTTAGAATATTTGTTTAGAGATGTGGGGATTAAACCATAATTAAAGATAGATTGCGCATAAGACGAAATTTTTCATCTTGAAAGATATAAATGTACAGAGATGTTTTTTAGTAGACGTAATTTTAAGTGACTCTCCATATTTAAATTGAGAGGTTATAGTGAAGCCACAATTGATGACAATATAAATAAGGATATTTTAGAAAATTCTCTGATGATTTTTCTGATTTAAAAAAATATTTAAATAAAATGCTTTTTTGCTAATTTCAGGAAATCAAAGTCTGATAACTCCAACTCTTGCTATGTTGCCAGGTTAGATCATATTTTTTTTACATGTCATATAAATTGTCTGTTTCGCAGACTATATCTGGCCTTTCGTCCACGGACCACACATTTTTAGTGTAATACAGCTAATTCAATGATTTTCCAATGCCTATTGTTTTTTGTTTGTTTTAACCTTTGAACTTTAACGCTACGGGTTATTTGAAAATTTTCGAAAAGCATAGAAAAAACATTCAACCAAAAAAAATCAAATTTAAAAAGCATTAGCATGCCATACATGTCCGTTAATCCATTTTTCATGTAATTTTAATAATTCCTTAATTTTCTTTTGACCTTTTATTCGTAGAGTTAGCTGATTAGTTTCGTAGAAACTATCTAAATATAATTTAATAATCAATTACTATGAAAAGAGCTTAGATAAAGGTTGATAAAGATACGTACTTTTATATGTAATATATTTAGTTTGACCTTTTTAAAAATTATTAACAGCCATTTTTCTTCGTTATAATTGTAAAACTAAACAGTTTGAGGATTTTTCTGGAATATTGATTTTTACGTTTATTGAATAGAACCAGATAGGTGAAAAATAACAATATTTTCAATTTTCTTGATTAATAATTTCGACATGATTTTTATAATTGTTTTTAGCTGTTTGTTGTAAAATATCTGCAGCTATCAATCCCTTCATCTACGGATTCTTGTAAGTCAATCATATAACATTAAAGGAATTGAGGTTTTTTCCACAAATTCAGTTTTTGTAAAACCAATATCTTTGCAGCCTTATGATGTAAACCTTTAATATTTCAAACTTACATTATTTGATCCAATATCGTTCATAGTTTGAAATATTAAAGGTCTACGACATTGGGCTGCAACGATATGGAAATTAGAAAATCAGAGTTTGTTCCTTTGTAAATATTACTAAAGCCCCCTTCTCCCAAGTTTATATCATGTACCACATAAACACTTTCTTCAAAATCTAATTTTCTAATTTTTAATTCTTTGCAATTGAAGGCCTTTGATATTTCAAAATAAAAAAATAAGTTTTACACTAATAGTTTTAAAAGGATTAGAAAAGTTAAAAGTTCATTTTTTTTGTTAAATGCTGTTGGTAGATTAAAATTTTTCTTAGAAAAATACAGAAAGATAGACATATATTCTTGTCTTGTTATTTTTCATAGAACTTATTCTTTCCCAAAATTATGGATTTTACTGTACCCTGTCCCAATAAACTTGGGAATTCAGTGACGAATTCGATATCTTTTTTTTAAATAATTTTTTGATTTAGAATAGTGATTCCTACTGAGAAATCTGTAACCTATAAGGGTTTCGTCTGCTATGTTTACATTTAGTTTGTTTTTATGTTTTGACTGCATACGGTTGTACTTAGTAAAACAAGAAAGTTACAGTATACAAACAGAGTAAACTTGTCCGTATTTACTGTTCATCTTGCGGAGACATTATAGACACATCTTTACAGCCATTTACTCTTTCCATAATATAAACTGTAGCAGACATAATAATATTAAGGCTTTTGAAATTAGGTATTACAATGCTAATTCATAACAAAGACGATATCCAATTCGTCAGTAAATTCCCATGTTTTTTGGGACACCCTGTAGTTTATAGAAATTATGTTGTTCATTTTGTGTCCATTTTTTTCTTACTGTTGGTTGTCCTCGATAATAAAAAAGCGTTCGTAAATTTGACATCGTTCGATTTTATTTTAACATCTTAGAATGAAACATTGTGATATTACTCTTAAATTTTACGTTGCTGATAAATCTTTTTGTTAAGTCTACCAAAGTTCAACAAGGAGGTAAAAAGAATGTTCCGAAAGAATTCCTCGTTAAATTCCTCTGCTAACAACTACAAAGCTGAATATGGGTAAGGTAAATTAAATCGTGACTACACTTTTATAAATATAAAGTTGTAATCTCTGTTTGTCTGTGTGTTTGTTTGTCCGATCATAAATCAGAAACCCCTGGACCTATTTGCCTCAACTTTTTATTGGGGAACTCGGGAGACCCACCGGAATGTTCTTAGCTTGGTTTTGAGATTCTAAGTTTATCAATATAAATTAAATGAAATTCAAAAAGATTTACGACAATTCACAAATGTAACCTAACTTGGTATGAGAAGCATTCTCTCTATAAAAGTGAGGAATTTATGATGCAGAGATAATAACACTAATATTAGAATTCGATTATTCGATTTAAAAATAACTTTGGCATTGATGATACAATCCTCATTGTTACTCAGATATATGTTTTAAGGTACATTCAATTTTTATAATGGAGCCAAGATTATGGTCCTAGCGATAAATCTGCGCCTAACTATTTTAAGAACTTCGCAACAACAATTAATCAATTTTTTTTTAAATGGCGAGCTGAGAGCCATTTTATAGAATTAATCTATCAATAATATCATTTGTAGGTCAAGACCGAAACCATCTTTTTGTCTTTAAATGATTAAATACTTAAAAAATTCCTACGAAATAAACTTTTCTGAATTCAGTGTTTTAAGGCGGAGCTATTGTTAGGCCTCTTGTTTAAATTTTGAAGAATGTTTTTCATCTTACTTGTCACTTTTTTGATATTTTTTTTCTTAAAATATCTCTCAGACCAATATTTTTTAAATATCTTTTATTCTTTTTTGCTAAGTTTTTAAGAAAAATTGAATAATCGACTTACACTACTGAAGTCCCTGTCTGATATTAAAAATAAACATTAAACATGGCTGTTTCTCAACCTTTATCGATTTCTTATTTGAAACAATGTTTATTAGAACACATTTTCATAATATATCATAATATAATATTTCTGGATGCCAAACTAAAATTAAAAATTACTGAATTTTCAGGATAGAGCAAATTGATCTTACAATGTTTAAAAGATGTCATTCAAGAAAGGAAACTTTTAATTTGGAAATGTAAGCCAATATTTTTAAAACACTTGACACATGAACCATTTTTTCTGTGAAGTATTCCATGTGACAGCCAACGAAATGTGTTGGATCTGTCAAGGAGATTGGATCCGTCGAAGAGATTGGATCTGTCAAGGAGATTGGATCCGTCTAGGAGATTGGATCCGTCTAGGAGATTGGATCCGTCTAGGAGATTGGATCCGTCTAGGAGATTGGATCCGTCTAGGAGATTGGATCCGTCGAAGAGATTGGATCCGTCGAAGAGAATGGATCCATCTAGGAGATTGGATCCGTCTAGGAGATTGGATCCGTCTAGGAGATTGGATCCGTCTAGGAGATTGGATCCGTCGAAGAGATTGGATCCGTCGAAGAGAATGGATCCAGTCTAGGAGATTGGATCCGTCTAGGAGATTGGATCCGTCGAAGAGATTGGATCCGTCTAGAAGATTGGATCCGTCAAGGAGATTGGATCCATTAATCAAAGAAGATTGGATCTAGTGCAGAGGGTGTGGTTTTATTTTAATTCAGCTCCTAGTCAGTGATAGAGATCTCTAAGAGACTCATCAAACTGAAAATTAATAAATAGAGTTAAATTTCATATATAACATCTACATTTTGTGTAGTTATACTATTGTGATTGATTCCTTACATTTAGATAATGATAATGATAAAATAGGGTTGTCGTTGTGTATCTTACTTTAATGACTTAAATAAATATGTCACTGTGAATTTTAAGTTACCATGCAATGCATTTAAAAAGTCTTGTTAAGTAACTGGGGCTTAGATTTATTCTAAAAGTTACAAATGGATCTTTATAATGTAGCTGAAGATGAAAATGTATCCAATTTTATTTAAATGATGAAAATATGCCAATTGTGTAAACCCCGCGAGATGGTAAGCAGGACTGACTGTCTGCTCTCCAACCCCATAAATACTGTTCAGATAATCTTCCAGATTTTAACTCAGTTCCTTCTCCATATTTGCATTTGCTCAACTGGTGCATATACATAGGTTTAAAATTCCATTAATTAGCCTAAAGTAAAGCCCATGTGTTATAAAAAAGGTTTAAAGGTAGAACAGCTTTATACTGATATATTTGGCCCATTGATTAATTTTTGTTCTGAGCGTGTTGAATAAATCGTGGTTTAAATATTTTGTCAGTTGTCTTTGATAAATGTGATTATTGTGAAAATATTGATAAATTTAATGTTAATACTGTTTTTATTAAATGTATACAGATGTTGTTAAAAAATAAATTTCGATGTTTTTATTTTTAGTACTGTTCAGTTTTCTAAAAGCAACTGATTACTCACCACAAACATAATCAATTTTAGATTAAAAGCTTTGAAAATCTAAAGTATCAATTTTCTATGTTTTATTGTATAATTCAGTTGTAATGATCTAAAGAGTAAAACGTTATAATTCGATACGAAAAATCAGTTTGTTAGTGATAAAGTTTGTAAAGAAGAAACCTTTTCTCGAAAAGGGCAGAGGTATATAAAATGTATATTATCGTTTTGTGTTACAAAATCTATTTAACGATATGTCCATTTTTCAAAACCTTGATAGTTTGTACATTACCTATAATAGGGGCCCAGATTTAATTACTGGGAGAATTATTTGAACCAATTAGACGTAATTAAACTACTTAGACGCAGTTGAACCACTCATCTTTAACTTAAACCAGCTCACAAGAGGAGTGTTTTAACTACGTTTAATCTGTTAACTTTCACCTCGGTATTATTCAAGTCTGGTCACAATATCTAGCACTAAAAACTCCAGTTCATTCGAAGTATCACAGTATCGGAAGAATCCTTAGGCTAGAAAGTTGTATTATTCAGTATAAAGACAGACAATAGACGGAAAAAACGGGTCAGTACTCCAAATGTATCCCC